TGAAAGTTTGAAACTCGATTCTCAAGAGGTTGTTTGTTTTGGCTTGCTGTTTAAAGAATGCTATAATTATTAGATGTTCTGTATTTCCTCTCTGAGCGAGGCTTTTTGCAGGCGTGGGCTAACGTGTATGTGGCTATTATACGAGTATAGTGCGAGGGCCAGAGCCTGGCCGCTTTGTTGTATAGCAAACCCGACACCTACAGCCTGTAAAATCCCTTTTCTATAGCAAGTAGGACATCTATCTCTGCTTTTTAGTTACTTTGTTAGGTTTTAGACAGAAGGGTGAAAATAGAAATGAGCGCTCCTTTTTTTCAACAATAAGTTACATGGGTATAAATATTGAAATAGTTTTTTTCAATTTTGGCTTTATGGGTTAAAGCTCCGATGAACTATGTTCAGATTTTTAGCATATAATGGGATGTTTCATAATTATCTCTGACTGCGTGGTGAACAACGCGTCCGTCCAGGTCGAATATACAGTATATGGGAAGAAGCTCAGCATTTAGTAGTTCTAGATGCGCGGGCATGGAATTCAAAACAAAAGTCGGTACTTCTGAGGTATGCGCATCGAGATGTCGCACAACCTGAACCCTAACCTGGTACACAACCTGAGTTCAGGATGTGCGCCATCTTGGTGCGTATACTTCAGGAGGTCCCAAAAGTCTGTACTTGTAGTTGCATTGGTTTGCAGATATTCATTTCTTACTATCTCTTGTCTACTGTTCCAATAATAGGTCTCAGAGTATATTATTATATAGACTCAATTGGAGTAAAGACCGTGCGAATCACAGATTTTAACACAGCCAAGTTCTCATAAACAGGGTTGTTGGGTTCATTTCTGACGTGTGAAAAGTCAATCTGAGAGAACTGGGGTGACAAAAAAAGCAATGCGAGCCTCTTACAATATATACATTAAGAGCCAAAAATGATAAAACAGTTATCAATAGTTAGTAATTTAATAACTGTATCGTATTCCGAAAAGATAACGAAAAGATGGCAGCCGAGAGAGAAATATAATGAGAAGTGTTGTATATACTAGATGTGTGTTGTATATAGATACTATGTTGTGTCTACTAGGTTATTGGAAGGTTGTTCTAGGTTTTTTAAACGTTTAGAGAATTCTATTGTTATTGGGTCTTTTACATATTAGCTCCGGTCATAGCTTTTTTGTAGGCAAGTGCTAATATTTAGGTGAATATCATGTATATTGGAATGTCTAGAGCAGTGGTCTCCAATACGCGTTATGGTTGAGATTTTTCCAATATACCTGAAATAGTACGATTCGCGTTTTTATTGTGAAGAAATAAACAAGTTTCGGTCGGATCATTGAAGTGTGCCGTTATGAATCATTAATTCTGCATACGTGCAGTTCAAGCAAAACTAGACTAATATAAACTTTTTATAGAGTAGCAAACCCATACGCGATGTCCAAGAAGCGTAAATGTTCAGAAGAGCATAGAATAATTCAAGAGAAGTGGGAGGATCTGTATTTTGTGTGAAATTATAATAACAAAGTTCAGTGTTTCATATGTTGTGCAACTATTGCTGAATAACAAAATTATTGCTTATACTGAAACAATTCGTCAGCACGAAAAGGTATCGCAATTAAATTTTTTACTGATCAGTCCAGTTTATAAATGGAAACACTGTCTTAATTAGTTTTCGAGGTCAGATTTTGACGAATTATTATACGTAGTCACAGAATTTGAAAATACTTTCCAATCTAATTAAACAACTTTCACTTCAAAATATAACTTTCCATTTATTTTTCTAAGTTAGTCCTATTTGAAAATAGGTAATATTCCGAAGTATTGATACAGCATAATAATCATGTATTTTGCTTGGATACTCATGATGCTATGCGTTGGAATATCACATGGACAACGAATTCCCGAACAAAGTTCGCAGGTTTGAGTTATTAATTTCACCTCAGATCTCTTTCCTTTACTGCCCTTTCCACGCGCTGGTCATTAAGAATTTAAATTGAAAGAGACTCAAACCGATAATAGCAAATGTCTTGGGTTGGTACTTGTTCAATATAAAAGTAGTGGCACTCGACTGTCTTTTTATTTTACAATTTTTTTTTACCTTTTTTGATTATTACTACCCCTAAGCATAAATCGGCCAGCATCGACTATAATACACTATTCAAACTAATGTGTGGTTTATGCATGATTTGAATAAATGGCTACAGTCGTTTTGCGTTCGCTAATTTCGTACGAAGAGGTGCAGCATTAGGGCAGCCTCGTTATTCTATCTCATGCATAACAGCATAGATAATTTGTCCAACCCCCGAATTATTTTTGATTATAAGGCGATTATTATCAGAAACTAGTTCCGGCAGCAGATAAGTTTGAAATCACACCCCAAGATTGCTACTAATGTCGGAACGCGCAAGACCATACTCCACTATTGATTGATATGCTCCACATATTTACATTTACTGATATTTTACATATTTTAGGATCAGGAAATGCATTTGTATTGCACTAACCGAGACCAGCATTCCGTCAGAACCGGTCACAGAATTAAACAAGGAAAGGCTGGGCCTGCAGGGCCTCCTGGTGTCGTGAATTACAAAATCGTAAATGAAACTATAAAAGAACATTTCAATTGTATGTGATTGCTAAGGTTTGTCCATGGGACATATTTTTCTGACCCATTCCCACTCCATAGCAATTATTCTTGTCACATCACATGGGATTCCCATTGGAATAAAATTCCATAAAAATTGTTAGATTTAGGTTTAGCGTCTACTAAATAGGACTACATGTACGAAGAGACATGCAAAACAACAAGATTTATGGACTTTGTGTCTATCAGCCCGTTCACGAAGTATGTTGTTAATGCTGAATATATTTTGTTCTTTATAACTAGCAAGAGAGCTATGCTCAAATATATGAACACGAAGTCCATAACGAAATGTTTTACCATCATTTCCCCAAAAATCATTCGGTTTTCGTGTCCCACGTGAAATATGGGACGTTACCCATGAGAATCCTATTTCCATGGACAAGCCTGGACTAATTGCCAATTAAGCATATCAGATTTTTATTGAAATTGTAATTGGGGTTCATAGTGTCGTTTGTAAGAATATTTACTACAATTTTTTGTATGTTCACTGAGCTTTCTATGCAAATAAGTTACTCCGAATTTTTTAGATTTATATTTTCGTAGCACATAAAACAGTGTACCGATAAAATTAAACAAAGTAATAATGATGAAAAAGCCTGGATTCATATATAGCTCCATTAGTACCCTTAGTCTTTGTATCTATGAAGAAAACTAAAAATCGAAAAATATTCCATTAAGAAATTCGTTTTGAATATATTCGCAAGGTTACGTGAATTTAAAATACATAAAAAATATCGGCACGCTTGTTTTGGATTTTTTATTTTTATCAATGTTCTACAGGTGGCGACATTTTCGTGAATATTGTATTATCTTGAAACAATGTTATTTCATGTTTGATAAATTTTTGTTCAGATATTTCCGGACAGATACAAGTAAAGCTGACTCAAATTGGTCGAGTTGTTGAGCAATCTAGCGACGACATAGAGGATTTGAAAGCAGGTAAAAAGTAACGAGAGCCGTGCTCAAATATTTGGACCCAAGGGTTAAAACGACGTAGTAGGGGTATGCAACCTGTCATAGTAGACTACCAATAGAGCAGTGTTCACGAGTGTTTTTGTTTTACATAATAAAAAAAAACGATCCATATTTTCACTTCGTGTCCAATAAGACGATTACTTTAGTTAAACTTGAGCATACGAGGTTGGAATCGAGGTAGAAGCGATGGTTTGCGTTTGCTCTAAAGCAGGGGTAGTTTTCATACCAGGGGCCGAAAATTTTGCTCACTTAGGCTGGCGGGCCATGAAAATGTGACGTAAAAACTTTCATTTTATGAACAATATTCACTGTATTACAAAGCAAAGGTGGGAAACAATACGGCTCGTGCCAAAACTAACTTTGACCGCAATATCAACAAATTCCTTGAGCTATTTTTTAGCATAAACACCAAAATTTTATTTCAGTTTTGTTGTGGCAGCATCAGTCGGGCCAGATTGAATTACCCAATGGGCCGGATTTGGCCCGCGGGCCGTACTTTGCCCAAGGCTTCTTCGTAAAGTCTATAAAAAATTATATTTGTTGTGCATATAGTTTTCTAGCTTGTAAATTTCATCATTTTCGTTCATTAAAGCATCTGGACACACTCAAACAAAACTGAATGGGATCGAAACCGATATTGAAGGATTGAATCGGGTAAATCAGGAATAATTCTAGTACAGACGAACTAAAACATCTTATAAGGAAACTTAGAATACTTATCTCCTTCCTGATTATTTGCTTTGTAATTGAATAGATCATTATTTTTGATTTCAAATATATTACTTGGAAAAAGTAAAGCCCATAAGATTTATATATACATATATATAGGATGTGAGACGATGATCAAGTAAAATTGGATTCTACAATATGGTTGAATGGGACAGTATAAAACTAAAAATAAGAATAATGTATTCTTTATCCAAAATATGAATTTTATATTTGTTTATCTTTTGAAATACAATGGGACGCTTTTTGTCATTCAAAGCCTGGATCATATAAAGCTCTATTCAATCCTTAGTCTTTTGTATTTATTAAGAAAACTAAAAATATTCGACGTGGAACATTTTTAATTTGAATTAGTTTTGAAAATATTCCTATGGTTAATAAATATCGCTATGCTTGTTTTGGGTTTTTCTATTTTTTATCAATGCCCACAGGCAGACATTTTCCGTGAATAACGTATAATTTTAAAATAATGTTGTTTCAATCCAGATAAAATTTTGTTCAGATATTTCTGGACAGATACAAGCAAAGCTTACTGAAATTGGTCCGATTGTTGAGAAATCTAGCGAGGACATAGAGGATTTGAAAGCAGGTAAATCGTTAAGGAATTATGAGATCCGTGCTTAAATATCTGAACACAAAGATCAAAACGACGTAGTACGGGCTGTAGAAGCTTGACGGGGTGTGACCTTATGCACCCTGCTTGCTACACAAAGACGAAGGGCGCTGAACCGTGCGCCAATATTTTCCAGTCTAAACGCTCTAGTAGTCTATCCCAATACAGCAATATCAGTCTATGTTTGGTCCAGACAATCCTCTCCAAATTATCCCTGCCTTATAACTGAGATAAGCAAGCTGAAGTCCACAAGCCCACAATACACAACTTCAAACACAGGAGAATTGTAATATGTCGTGGAAATATCAAGCACTTGCTCAGCATAAATTATAAAATCGAGATGTCAGATGGAGCCAAATAGATCACGGTAACAGATGACGAATACAGATAGATTGAGTTGAGATAGAGAGAGAGAGAGAGGTTTTCTAAAGAAAACAAAATACACTATAAATACTATGAATTTGCCGCATAAATAACCAACATGCAATCAAATTATATCGCTTACCGACTGTTTTTAGCCAAGGTCAACAATATATCGAATCTTCTATGTAACTGCAGAACACTGAAATAAACACGAACAAATAAGCACTACAGTAACAGTACTTAACCCTACAGCATTAATTGTGGCAATAAATATAATACCAACAGTATGTCATCCAAATAGGACTACTACATAACAAGCCAAATGAAATGAAATACAGAAAACTCACCAAGAATTGTTCACAAAACAATCAAAACGCAGGACAGATTCACAAATTGCAGTTCAATAATCCAGAGTTCAATGCAGCAAATTTTAAACTATTAGCAAGTTAAATAAGCATGAAACAAAGAAAACCATAATTAGCCCACTATAAATAATATGATACAGCTTTCCTAACGATAAATCGCCATAGAAGTAACGCATTGCAACAGCAAACTAGCTGTGCACATTTATAATTTCGGCTCTAACGCCAGGCGATACAATAACGATGTAAACACGCAAATTGCAGTAGACAGAAACCTTCTCGGCTCGGTCTACAGATAATAAAGAAACACATCAAATGCGAGTAATGAATTGAGACGTTTGCGACGTTGACAAACGAAAAGATGCAAACGTGTCAGCAATAAAGAAATAGACACTACCGGCGCTGGAGATCTAACATTCCCCCCACAAATTTATGTACATAGGAAATAAATTTCAAAACACAACATGATCTCCAAGCCTCAATAGTCATTTAGTGCCTTCAACAACAAGAACTAGCTTGGTGATGGGACGCTTTACCAAGCTATTACGAATTTTAACAAGCACTGTTCGTATCAGTCCCTTCTTGTCTGGATACACATCCACGATTCTTCCCATTGCCCATCTTGATCGAGGTTGAGAATCGTCTACCACCAGGACAACATCTTCTTTCTTGAAATTTCTCTCTTTCTGAAACCACTTGTGTCGCTCAATAATCGTAGGCAGATACTCTCGAATCCATCTTCTCCAAAATTCATTTGCGAGATATTGAGATTGTGCCCATCGACGTTTAACATAGCAATCATTCTTGTCAAAAACTCCAGGAGGCACATTTTGATTTGACCGAAGTAATAACAAGTGATTCGGCGTTAAAGGCTCTTCATCCCGTGGGTCAAATGTTACAGGAATTATTGGACGACTGTTCAAGCATGATTCACACTCGATCAAGGCGGTCCTAAAAACTTCATCTGTCATAGTTTGACCCTGAGTAACAGCATTGAAAATTCGACGAATTGACCGAATCATTCGTTCCCATGCACCTCCATGATTTGAACCTGTAGGCGGTGATTTATGCCATGTTATCCCCTTTTGACGTAAGTATCCATGAATTTGAGAATCATTCCATATCTTCAAGGAATTTTCAAGTATTTTCTCTGCCAATACAAAATTACCAGCATTGTCCGAATATATATGAGTACAATGACCCCTTCGAGCAATAAATCGTCGGAGTGCACATATGAAAGAATCAGCAGACAAACTATTTACCACCTCGATGTGAACAGCACGAGTTGTCATACACGAGAACACACAACCCCATCTTTTCACATCACTCCTTCCCTGTCGAACAAGAAAATGTCCAAATAGATCAACACCAACATGACTGAACACTGGTTCATCCGATTTCAGTCGACAGGAAGGTAGATCTGCCATAAATTGTTTTCCAGGGCGGGCATTTCGCTTTCGACAAGAAACACAATTTCCGATGACCCTTCTTACTGCAACTCCACCTTTGATAATCCAGTACTTTTCTCTTAATGAGGTCCATGTATGACCCATACCTGAATGACCAACTTTGTTGTGATGATCCCTGATGACTAGATCCGTAAGATGTGATTTATGAGGCAATATGATGGGATGCTTTGATGAATGCATAATTGGTGCATTTTCCAAGCGTCCTCCTACTTTCATCAAACCATCTTCTAGAACAGGATTAAGTTTCAACATCCGGCGAGAGCAATCACCTTTACTGATAAATTTACCATTTAATATACATTTCATTTCTTCACGAAAGCTTTGTCTTTGAACATATTCAATAATAACTCTTTCAGCATAGCTCAGTTCCTGCACAGTCAGTCTTGCTGGCAGTTCAGTAAGCTTGTCTATTGACTTCTTATGAGAACACAAATATTTCTTGAATCGTATGAGCCAACAAGTTGCTTTCTTCAAACGGTAGAATGTAGAAAAGAATCCTATGAACCTGTCCATGACAGAAGACTCTTCCTTTATTACAAATGCCGACTTTATTTCTGGAACTGGCTTTGGACAAAATTCAGACGGTGGATCAGGAAAACAGTCCGGCATCTTTGGCCACTTGTCTTCAGAAAGACGCAAAAACTCGGGCCCATTGATCCATCGTCCTGACTTTAAATATGCATCAACTCTAAGACCACGCGAAGCATCATCAGCTGGATTCATCTTCGTTGGAACATGGCGCCACTGTGATACATCAGTATTTCTATCAATTTTTGCTAAACGATTAGCAACAAATGTGGAGAATCGTTTCTTCGAATTTCTTATACTTTGAAGTACGGCTGTGGAATCAGTCCAGAAAGTTGAACTGCATTCATTCATCTTCAGTTCTTTCCTTAGGACAAGATTCAACTTTACAGCGAGAACTGCAGCTGTTAATTCAAGTCTGGGTATAGTTACACGAGAACATGGAGCAAGTCTTGCCTTTCCAACCAAAAATGCCACATGAATTTGGCCATTTTTATCGATTATTCGTAGATATGAAACAGCTCCATATGCTAATTCTGATCCATCAGCAAAGTGATGTAGTTCATAGGAAACAACTTTTCAAAATCAAATGGCTGATAGCATCGCTGTATCTTCACCTGTTCTAAGCTTTGCAGTTGATGTAGCCAGTTTCGCCATTTAACAGCATCATCATCTGCAATTTCTTGATCCCATCCCAAATTTTGCTTGCAAAGTTCTTGCAACAATAACTTGGCAAGTAGCGTTATTGGAGCCACTATACCAAGTGGGTCAAAAACAGATGCTACAATTGAAAGTATACCTCTCCTGGTATTTGGTTTGTCAGCAATATTAACCTTGAACCCAAACTCATCATTTGCCACATTCCACTGAATACCAAGAACTCGTTCTTTGACATTGCCATCAATGACATGATTTTGAACACATTTAGCTCTCTTTTCTTCTGGAATCATAGACAGTAATTCATCATTATTGGTGAGCCATTTAGTCAAGTTGAATCCTCCTTTTGACATCAATTGTGTCAATTCCTTGACAATCTCTATGCCTTCATCGACCGATTCAGCAGTTGTCAAGCAGTCATCGACATAGAAATCTTCATTAACAATTTCTGAAATTCTAGGTTTGTGTTCGTTTCCAAATTTCACCGCCGTCTGTTTCAAACAAAATGCAGCACAAGACGGACTCGATGCAGCCCCAAATATATGAACTCGCATACGATGTGGAACGGGTTCCTTTGAAATGTCCCCGTCATCCCACCATAAAAACCTTAGTGCATCCGTGTCCTGAGGTGCCACTCTAACCTGGTGGAACATTGCTTCCACATCTGCCACTAATGCACTCGTCCCCTGCGAAATCTCAAAATTACACCCACGAGTGACGATACCAAATCTGGTCCGGACATTAAGCAATCATTCAGAGACACATTTCCATATTTGGCTGCAGCATCAAAAACTACACGAACTTTTCCAGGCTTATGCTGGTTCATGACAGGAAAATGAGGAAGATACCAAACTGTATTAGACGTATCAATTTCGGCATATGAAATTCTTTTGGCATATCCTGCCTTGATATATCCTTGAATAACTTCGACATACCTTTTATGCAAATCGGAATCTCTCATCAGTCTATTTTTGAGGCTACAAAGTCTTCTTTGCCATCTCTTTGTTATCCGGTAGATACTGCATCCCGGTTCTCCATGGCAAAGGAAGTTGAAAATGACCACCAATATGTTTCACCGAATTTTGCATAATTTCATACACTGCTCGATCTTCTCGAGAATTTGGAATATCAAGAACTGAAGTTTCATTGCCAAAATCTGTTGTCCACAGAGTTTCAATTTCCTTTTGTGTTTCCAAATCTTACACTTGACGAAATTGACATAATGATCAGATGTAAAATGAACTTCTCTGATATCTGATGGCGACTCAAAACTGGGTCCGAACAGCGACCAGCCAAGAACAGTCTTCACTGCCTTAGGTGCTTTCCTCGGTCCATTTCGAACATCTTGGAAACAGACGAGTTCCGCATTGTCAGCCCAATCAGAAGATTCACTGTTCCTCCTTCCAAGATAGGCAATCTTACATCTTGAAGATGCGGCATGATTTTAAGGAACCTTTGTCGGGCGCTTTATTCGGCTTAGCAGGAATTTTTTCAACCGAGAGCACATCTGTGATTTCATGTTCAGCACCACCATCTAGCGGCGATACAACTAAACTGCCAGATATACCCTTGTATTGTATTGGCCTCTGTCCAATTGTGCGTAATGTGATATCTCTGTATTTCCTGTTACTTCGAGATATTCCATCAAACGTTCACTACACAGAGTAACTGTAGATGCCGGATCCAGCAAGGCGTATGTTTGAGCGGTCTTTTCACCATTTCGAACATTGACCGGCACCACACATAAAAAACATCTTGCCCGATACTTTTCCCATTGCACTTTGACGACTTTGCCAATGAATATACAGCAGGTCCCTCTTCAGGCTTTTTCGATTTCTCCTGAATTTCAATAAATCTATGAAGCAGTGTGTGATGTCGATTTCCTTTACATCCATGTACTTTGCACTGACTGGCCTTCTTGCAATTACGAGCAGATGACCATGAGACAGACACTTGAAACACAATTTCTGCTCCTTCAAAAGACTGACCTTTTCTTCATGCGATTTACTCTTGAAGTCCGGGCAGTTCCACAAATTGTGCGGTTTGAGACAACATACACATCCCAAATCCCGTTTTTGATCAATGTGTTCCCTTTTGGCCTCAGCATCAATATTATAGGTTGCAGCTCTGTTTCTCCTCACACTCACAGGAATCTTTTTGTGACGAATCTCATTAAGCTTTTTCCCATACATTGAATTTTTACATCCGCCCAATTACAAACATAATCGACCAAGTGACAATATTTTGCCTGACGACCAGTCTTTCTTTGAATTCTGAGGGCTTCATGTGGCCAGCCATCCTGAACATCTTCAGGAAGTTTAGCCATCAGCATTCCCATAGTGTCCAGGGTGTTTACATTTGCAAATTCATCAATGTCTTCTAGAGTTCCCAGGCATCGCTCCATTACTTGTGATATTTGCAATAGCTGCTCTGGCTTGTCATCACGCACACTTGGAAACTCTTTTAGAACTCTTTCACATGCACCAGCGATAATATGAGGCTGACCATATTCTTCAAACAGCCTCTGCCTAGCAAGCTTGTATCCATTCTCAGGCTTCTTTGTGAAGTATTCTAATTGTGCACGAATTCTCTCTTCACAATATTGCAACAAACACACAAGCTTCTGGCTATTTGTTTCTAGTTTCGGTGCCAGGTGGATGTCAAAATTTGTTATGAAAGACATATACTTCAAAGGATCTCCATTGAACACAGGTAACTTGGGCTTCTGAAAGAAGAATTCTTCACGTCCATGATAATGGTGATGCTGTATAACTGGAGATGATTCTCTTGTTCTCCGCTGTGAATAATGTTGTGGCCCAGATTCATAAACATAATCATTAACCGACTCACGATTTTCCTGAAGTGTCCTATATCCACGAGTCTGCACATCTGGCAACTCATTGACACTACTTTCATTTATTCGGAAAACGTGATGGTGTTCACGGCCAGCCATTCCATCTGGTTCAGCCGCAAATGAACACTCCTGAGCTATCGCACGATTCACAGGCTGAAAGTTATAGCTTTGACCATTTCCAGTTCTATTTGGAACAGCATTATCATCTCTTCTCAATGGAGTCTGAGAATATGTGTGTACATTATGCGACCTTGCGAAACGTACTCGTTCATGACACGAATCAGAGGCAGCATAGCCATCATGGTTGGTATTTATTCTAGTATGTGTGGCTTCATTCTGTAGCGAAGCAGATCGACGCCTGTTCAATGATGAAACATCAGCTTGCATTACATTTTTATGCACAGTTGTAGGAGGAATTTTATCACCAACCTGGAGTGAGTTCACCAATTTGGGTGATGAAGGTTTTTGCTCAGTACTTGCAGTCTCTTCTCTGCGGCTCGCCAATGGCACTGAAGGCTTTTTATCACTTGCCCTGCTCGTACCTGGCAACACATTAATAGGACTCAAGTTATTGAAATCTCCATCACCTTTTATTGAATCACCAGTTGATTTCGTATCCCACAATAAAAATTCCACTTCAGTCAATTCCACTTTACGCTGTGCATCACGAAGCTCCATTTTACGTTTCAAAGCTTCCTCCTCTAGCTTTTCTTCCGTGTGACGAAGCTCCATTTTACGTTTCAAAGCTTCCTCCTCTAGCTTTTCTTCCGTGTGACGAAGCTGTACAATTGCTAGATCGCGTTTCACTTTGCACTGCAATCTTCTCTTGAAGGATGCTCTCGATGTATTGTCAGAACAAATACTACCCGCATACTTTGACGATACATTTTCTGGTTGCACAGTTGAATGCGTTTTCAATTTTTCGAACCATTCCGAGATGCGTGAATCAAATTCCGATTTTTCACGCTTCAAATCATTAGTCACAGGAAAGTCAGTAATCTCTTTACCTGCACTTTCAGGAATCATGTCAATTAAAGAGATTAGCTGCTGGAACACTTCATCAACTTCTAGCCTTACTACTGACAACTTTTCAGCGTTTTCACGTTGAAGCATCAAACGTTCAGCTATCAAATACTTTTCCTGCAAAGCAGATCGCAAAATGTCCAACTGCTGCTTTGCCTTGGATTCCATTATAGCTTGAACGATGAAAGTCTTTCAACCTTGAACAGTATCTTATTAATTATCGACGTCTTGTTGCAAGACACAATGAATAAGTCGAAAACTTTTTGCACCCAGCAAAAAGGCACCAGTCGAAAACTTGCAGAAGTCGAAAACTTTTTATGTAGAAGCTTGACGGGGTGTGACCTTATGCACCCTGCTTGCTACACAAAGACGAAGGGCGCTGAACCGTGCGCCAATATTTTCCAGTCTAAACGCTCTAGTAGTCTATCCCAATACAGCAATATCAGTCTATGTTTGGTCCAGACAATCCTCTCCAAATTATCCCTGCCTTATAACTGAGATAAGCAAGCTGAAGTCCACAAGCCCACAATACACAACTTCAAACACAGGAGAATTGTAATATGTCGTGGAAATATCAAGCACTTGCTCAGCATAAATTATAAAATCGAGATGTCAGATGGAGCCAAATAGATCACGGTAACAGATGACGAATACAGATAGATTGAGTTGAGATAGAGAGAGAGAGAGAGGTTTTCTAAAGAAAACAAAATACACTATAAATACTATGAATTTGCCGCATAAATAACCAACATGCAATCAAATTATATCGCTTACCGACTGTTTTTAGCCAAGGTCAACAATATATCGAATTTCTATGTAACTGCAGAACACTGAAATAAACACGAACAAATAAGCACTACAGTAACAGTACTTAACCCTACAGCATTAATTGTGGCAATAAATATAATACCAACAGTATGTCATCCAAATAGGACTACTACATAACAAGCCAAATGAAATGAAATACAGAAAACTCACCAAGAATTGTTCACAAAACAATCAAAACGCAGGACAGATTCACAAATTGCAGTTCAATAATCCAGAGTTCAATGCAGCAAATTTTAAACTATTAGCAAGTTAAATAAGCATGAAACAAAGAAAACCATAATTAGCCCACTATAAATAATATGATACAGCTTTCCTAACGATAAATCGCCATAGAAGTAACGCATTGCAACAGCAAACTAGCTGTGCACATTTATAATTTCGGCTCTAACGCCAGGCGATACAATAACGATGTAAACACGCAAATTGCAGTAGACAGAAACCTTCTCGGCTCGGTCTACAGATAATAAAGAAACACATCAAATGCGAGTAATGAATTGAGACGTTTGCGACGTTGACAAACGAAAAGATGCAAACGTGTCAGCAATAAAGAAATAGACACTACCGGCGCTGGAGATCTAACACGGGCATGCAACCTGTCATAGTAGTCTACCGATAGAGCAGTGTTCACGAGTGTTTTTTCCATTTTAAAAAAACTATCCATATTTTCACCTCGTGTCCAATAAGACGATTGATTAATGGTTAGTTAAACTGGGCATACGAGGTAGAAGCTTTTTTGCGTACGTGCTAAACGCATTCTCGTAAAAGTCCATAACAAATTAAATTACTCGTGCATATAGTTTCTAGCTTGTTAAATGTTATCATCATTACTTATCGATTTTAATCGGTAAGTATGTTGATAGGTATTTGTATGTCTGTATGTTTGTCTGTTAGATGCACGCGATATCTCATGAAAGCGAGATTGAATCTGCTCCAGATTTTGCATGTGCATTCATCTTATCTCGGACCAGAAGTCTATTGATTTTGGGCGAATTATGTCGTATAATTAGCGAGTTATCAATCAATTATTGATATAGTGATCTAGATTTTTGTGAAGCGAGAGAATTTTGAGACACGCCCGTGTGTGTGTGCGATGCGCAGTGCGCAAGTTACAAGAGCGGATGAATCGAAACTGCAGTTTCTGTTTTGGGGGATCCCCTAACTATCGATCGATAAGTCTTCGGTTTCTAACCGATATTTTCGTTTTTCTTTCAATAAAGCATCTGGACGCACCCAAACAAAACTAAATGGAATCGAAACAGCTGTTGAAGGATTGACATCAGGTAAATTTGTCGAGTAAAGACGAATGGAAATATCGCATAACAAAGCTAAAATATTTATTACTTCATTATTATATTATTGTAATGAGATGGACATAATATTATAATTTTATATATATTAATAGAAAGAGAAGCATATATTTTATATACATATTAAGATACTGAGGTTATTGCTCATTTGAATAACGAAGACACGATAATAAAAATGAGTCTAAATTCACTTCACAGTAATGCAGCAAATCCGAGAGCAACTGGAAAGTCTCACGACAAAAGTGGCAAGAATTGAACAGATTAGCACATGGTATCAAGCGCGGAACTACTATTACTACAAACTATTTCACAACAATGCCACTTACGCAGAGGCAAAGACAAATTGTAAGAGACTTGGAGGCCAACTGGCATCAGAGGGATATCGAGATGCAGACGTTCGCAGGTGATTTCAGTTGTTGGGAGGAATAAGGGACTCATGATCGAAGTCCGATTTAATCGCCGAATAATCTACACCGGTGTTGCTCAATTTTCATAGTACAAACGATTCGGACTCGATGGTAAAAAGTCGTCTTTCATAATACTAAATACTACAATTTGGAATGACAGTTAAGATCTAGCGCCCATTATTCTTGAAAAATATCTAAGAGCCTTTATACTTATAACTAATGGTCAGTAGTTGAATAATGGAATAATAAGTCAAATACTGGGCAAAAATTAATTCGAATTTGGCAATTTCTAGTCTCAAAAGTGAAAAAACTCAAAAGTGAACCAACCTTCGGTTTGTCATGCTGTAGAGTGTTTGTAAAAAGACATAAACAATATACGTATTTGGGTTTAGAGAAATCTTACCCTTGGTCAAATCTGGAGGATCCTCCACTTGGATTGGTTTGAACGACATTCAAGAGGAAAACACGTTTATCTGGGAAGATGGTGTAACGGCGACTGCAGGTTCTATTCCATGGCATGAGGATCAACCTAACAGCTATGACGGTAATCAAGATTGCGTTGAAATGGGGCCTAACTGGGATTGGGAGTTGAACGATGAAGATTGTAGCGTCAAATTTAAATATTTATGCGAGATTGGACCATAATTCTACATTTACTAC